ACCAGCAGGTGGCAGTTGAGTGCTGCTGATTTTCTCAATCAAAACAAACACTTTTACACAAAATACAATTTTTTATTGTTCAAACACGGTGATTTATTTTATACATAATTATTCATTGATCTGAAGGAGGGTTTAGTGCCCAAAATGTAAATAAAATCCATTAAACGAGTCTTTCCGGTGAACAAATCGATTCACGTCCCAAACTATAAAAATAAACCAACATGAAAACAGTATTTCAAGAACATTCACAAATATTTAGGAGAATCCAAACAGAATAAGTAAAAAGTCCAGTAAAATGTATTTATATTTAAACAAATCTGACTCAGTCTGATGGTAATCAAGAGACACTGAGCAGAGACAGAGGCCGATCAACCCGCTTCACTCCGAGTACGGAGAGCTCATCTGTAAAGAAAAGACAAACTGTGTCAAGTGTTTGTGTCAACAAAATATAGAGAATATTTGATTTAGTCAAATTAGTTCTGCTAATGCTAAAACTACTAGTGCTAATGCTGTTAATGCTAAGACTACTAGTGCTAATGCTAGTTCTGTTAATGCTAAGACTACTACTGATAATGTTAGTTCTGCTAATGCTAAAACTACTAGTGCTAATGCTGTGAATGCTAAGACTACTAATGCTAATGCTAGTTCTGTTAATGCTAAGACTACTACTGATAATGTTAGTTCTGCTAATCCTGACCAATACTGGTAATGCTAGTTCTGCTAATGCAAAGACTACTAGTGCTAATGTTAGTTCTGCTAATGCTAAGACTACTAGTGCTAATGTTAGTTCTGCTAATGCTAAGACTACTAATGCTAATGTTAGTTCTGCTAATGCTAAGACTACTAATGCTAATGTTAGTTCTACTAATGTTAAGACTACTAATGCTATTGTTCTGCTAATGCTAAGACTACTAATGCTACTGCTATTAATGCTAAGACTACTAGTGCTAATGCTGTTAATGCTAAGACTACTAGTGCTAATGCTATTAATGCTAAGACT